GCTGAAAAAATTGGCACATTACCCTGATTTGCTTAATAAATGGATTTTTTCCTAGATGAGTCTCTAACTTCACCTTTGTTTTAATGTGATGAAAGCCTTGGAAAGAAGGTAGCTTTCATCAAAGTGCCAAGTGGAAGTACAAAGCAAGCTGAGAAAGGACCCAGTGTGTGCTCAGGTTGCTTGGAGAGCAGTGAAGGAGCTTAACGAGCTGTGTATTAATATCCATAATAACGTGGAGGTATCGGAATGCTCAGATTATTAATTCTCCCCAGGGAGGCCCTGAGGATTCCATGCCATTATAAATCCAATCAGTGAGCACTGTACACCATGCAGGGAAGGCTGGAAAGGAGTTCTGTAAGGAACAGGGACACAGGGAATCACTTGATTTACCCTAAGCCTCAGTGCTGCTCTGCAGGTGTCAGTTCACAGCAGTCACTTGGTACCAAGCTGTAAAATTGTTCTCTCCTGGATTTTGTCTGCACTTCTTTGGGGTTTAATCTCATGGTTTCTCCTGTGTCCTCCTTTCCTGGTGTGTGGTGAGGGCTCTGTTTGTGCAGAGCACTGACAGGACCTCCAGATGTGCTGCACAGAACTAGGGCAAAAGTGTTGCCTGTTGAAACCACAGAATGGGAATAATGAGGTGAAGGATGAGTTAGGAACAGCTTTGACCAAACACATCTTCGTGTTGACTTGTCCTGGAAACACTCATATTTCAGCTAGTTTAGAATCACAGCCTAAATAAGCTCTTTTTTTTTTTTTTTTTTTTTAATAGTTTGACTAACCAAACTTGTAGTTTTTTGGAAGCTGTGGAGCTCCTTTGTTAAACGTCTCATTCAGCTGGATTTGAGTCTCCTTCTCAACAAGCTCATTCACACAGGAGGTTAATGAGATTTAGCTAATGTGCTTTCAATCAACGGAAGGTTTGAGCTCGGCATAACTTTCCTGCTTGTCTTTGTGTAGACTTGCCCTAATAACGTTGGTCAGTTATTAAGACACACAGTTCTGGATGGCAGTCAAAATACCAACTCCTTAAAAATTCATTAGTGCCTGCAAAGAAGGAATATGATTTTGCTTCCAGGAGCTGCTTTGAAGTGAAGTGAGAAACTCACTCAGGACTGAAACTTCTCCAAGTGTCCCTCAGCTCCTTTTAAAATCTAAATTGGTTTTTTTAAAACCTACATATTAGGAATTTTGGGCATATTTAGCAGGATCTTGCTTCTGCTGCAGGTAAAGCAATGTAGTGTTAGGAATTTGAAGTCTGGTTTTCTCTGCATGTGGATGGAGTTCACCCTTGAGTGGAGGAGGAAAATAATCTTCTCTGCAGCCTTTAAGGGTGTGGTGGCATCTCAGTGTAGTTTCAGTTCAATCACGAGTGTTCCTCAGACCAAAGAAGCTCAAACAGCCTGAAGAAAACTCTACTTGAGCCTAAAGCTACACTCTGTAAGCAAACTGGTTTAATTGGAGCAACTGCAGGCAGAAGCTGCAGGAGGAAAAAGTAAGTTTAATCACAGCCTTGCATTGTCCATCTCTGATGGAGTTTGTCTTATCCTTTCTGTGAACTTTGAACTGCATTGTAACATGTTCAAACTCAATAGGAGCAACCTTGGGCAAAGGGAAAAGGTGGTGTTAGTAGTCATGAAGGTGTAAGGAGGATCCCGTTGTGTCAGACCTGGCACTGCTGTGGCTTTGTGTCCTGCACTGGTGGCTCAGAATTTGGAAGGTTTATGTGCTGGGGAACAGGCAAGTGTGTCCTTTCCCTGGCCAGGAGGGTTTTCCCCATGAACTTGCACCTGGACTATCCTCTGCTCTTTGTCTAAGTCCTAATCTTATCTGCAGCACTGCAAACTCCTCTCAGCTCTTGGCCTTCCTGGCTTAATCGTGTGTGAGCACTGGAAGTAATTTGGTACAGAAAGGTGAATGTTGATCAGTGTCCTGGTGGAAATTTCACTTTCAGCCTTTCCATTTGAGCCAAGGCTGCAGATGATTCATTGTACTGGGTGTACCTACAGGATGTTGGATGAGTTTTATCTCTTATTCCATGGCTTTCCAACTTCTGATCTGTTGGATTTGCTATGGAGGGCTGTAAAACAGAGTCATGAGCTGTACCTGAGCTCAGTTGAGAGCTGATAAGGAGTGATAGCTCTCAGATAAATCTTCAGGCAGCAGGACATGAAGTTCTGCTTCACTTTGACACTCCTGATTGCAGAATTAGAGTGTTCTGAAAAATCTCTAATTATCATCTGTGCCATTAAGTGCAAGTTTAATTGCTGAGTGAAAGCAAGAAGAGTTGGGAAATTCATTCTCCTCATTTTCCTTGGACCAGCCCCCTGACACACATTTGTGTGTTGGCAGCACACACTCCTCTCTTCAGGAGAAGTAGTGGATGAGGCTGGTTTTGTCTTTTGGAGTTGCTTGTTTGGGAACCTTCATCCAAACACTGTCAGTAGCTCAAGAATTAATGCCAGGCAAGCTTGGTGTGCTCTCTGGTGGAATTGGGAGCAATTCCTGAGGAGCAATCACTCCACCCTGGAGAAGACAGCAGTCCTGCAGGTTTGTGATGTGAAGTCGAAGAGGATTAGGTGGTCTTGTCTGTTCTCTCAGTGGAGATGCTGGTTAATGCTAACCAAGCAGCTTGAGTGCCAGAGTCCCTCAAACCACATCTCGTGGCTGGCAGGTGTCCTGGCAGGGTTTGTTGGCCTGGGCTCTTGACTGGGAGATGTCCTGCTGCCCTTCCTCTTTCCTTTCCCAATCCCAGATAATAAGCTGCCAGACTAAACCTTGCCTGTCTCCATCACTGATTTTCTTGGAGTGTAAAATATGTCTACATTGACACAAAAGGCAAATTCTTTTCTCTTCGTTCTCGCGTGCTCGGAAAAAAAAAAATCCTTCTCGTCTCTACAGTAAAAGCAAACAAAATCTCTCCAAAAAAACCCAGCCCAGACTCCTCACTGACCCCAAACCCTGAACCAGGGGCTGGCTCTTCTCTAACCTGAGCTTCACTTCTCCAGGGAACTCTGTGGTGGTTGTAAAAATGGGAATGTCTGTTTCAGAACACTGTTGTGGTGAGTGCTTGGACCACTCTCCTTCAGTTTCAGTCCAGGTCATTCATTATGCTGACTTAATCCTGACTTTAATGAGCAAATCTTAACCCCTAAATGAAGGCTCTGCCTTCCATCCCATGGTGATTTAATGAGTGCTTGGAGGGCATTTCAGTGCCCAAATTGGCTTTCTTACCTAGGTAAGTTGTGCCTCTTTGAAAAGTTAATCTCTCTCTCACCTCAAGTAACCAGAATTTTCTAGCAAGTGGGCAATTAACAGCTATTAAGAGGTTCTAAAATATTAGTACTTGGTAAGGTTTCAAACAGTGCAGAGTTGCCCCAGCAGAAGGGTCTTTGTCAGGTTGTTATTACTGCAGTTACAGTAGGCAGGAGCTCTTGGCACTGCCTAAGGAGCATTTGGAAGGGAGACTTCAGGAAAAAAACCCAACTCCTACTTATTTTCTTCCTCATAAACACCAAACTGGGTGTTCTGGGTGTCCATTTGCTGCATTTCCACCTCTGGTGATTTGGGGAGCATGTTATTAACTTGCTTTTGAAGTAATGCCAGTGGGTTCTGCTGCTTGAATGTGTTTCTGGCTGCAGAAATTCCACTTTGTGATGGTTTTAAAAGGTTATTTTTCAGGTTCTGTCCTGTGCCTTCACCTGTAGCTGTGCTGGTTTCATCCACACCTGTTTGCAGCTGTGTTTTCTCTTTGAGGCTCAGTAACCACAGGCTGCAGAATTTGGTTGGCTGCAGAATTTTCTGTGCTGTCCTGTGGGAAGTTTAAATTCCAGTCTGTTAATTCCTGTTCTTTAGCCTTGGAAATGGCAAATATGTGGATGACCATGGACAGGCAGATCGCAGAATTTGCTGTCCTGTGGGAAGTTTAAATTCCAATCTGTTAATTCCTATTCTTTAGCCTTGGAAATGGCAAATGTGTGGATGACCATGGACAGGCAGAGCTAACTAAAGGAGCAAATGTGGGAAAACTGTACTGTAGTGACCCATCTGGGAAAACAAAAGAGAACTAGTAAGGTATAAGATCTTTGCTGTTCCTGAGCCAAAACAGGCTGTCCTGTGGGAAGTTTAAATTCCAATCTGTTAATTCCTATTCTTTAGCCTTGGAAATGGCAAATGTGTGGATGACCATGGACAGGCAGAGCTAACTAAAGGAGCAAATGTGGGAAAACTGTACTGTAGTGACCCATCTGGGAAAACAAAAGAGAACTAGTAAGGTATAAGATCTTTGCTGTTCCTGAGCCAAAACAGTAGTGAAACTCATTAAAATGCAGCAGTTTATCCTGAAGCAGTTGCTTCAGCATCATCAGGCAGATTGCTTGGAGCTCCCTCCCACAACTGGCATAATTTTGGGTGAGGGTGTTCAGCAAACAGGGATAGTTTTGGGTGAGGGTGTTGAGCAAACAGGGCTGTTCCTGGCCAAGACACTGAGAGGCAGGTGTGCCTCACTCCACAGCTTCCAGGGTGGGTTTTATTTCCAACTAAGCTGTTGTAAAGGAAAGAATTCACTTCTCCAGAGATAAACCTGTGAGTAGTCTGCAGATTTCCACTTTGAAGAAGCCCAAGTGTTGTTTGCAGAGGGTGCTCAGCTATTCTACACTGCTGCAGACCTGGAGGTGTGTTTTGTTCCCCAAAAGTGCTCTGGAAATGAGGGTGACATTGGAAGAAACCCAAGATTTCAATACGCTACTATAATGACAGGAGACCACAAGAGGAGAATGAGAGAATAATCACAGTCCTCCCATCCTGAAAGAATTTAAAATTCCCACAGCTTTTTCTTTAAGTGATAATCTCCTTATCAGGAAGGAGTGATAAGGGCTGGTGAGTCAGGAGCACCAAGGCAACCCAAGGCTGCAGGAATTGTGCTTTAATACATGGATCTTAGGGAATAACACCAACTTCTCTCTCATTTCCAGGAGCTGTTGATGTGAACCAGACCCTGGTGTCCCAGCTGGGTTGCTGAGCACTGTGGTGGTCCCTGGAGGTGCTGCTCTTTGGATCAGTCCCTGTCCTTAGTGCCTGGCCTGGAATCCAGCAGCATCCATTTGGGTGCTGTATGCAATCCTGGACATTCTGGACACGATGGGGATTGGCAAGAACACCACCTCGAAATCAGTGGAGGCAGGAGGCTCCACAGAAGGCAAATATGAGGATGAATCCAAACATCCCACCTTTTTCACCCTGCCTGTAAGTAGCACATTCCAGTACTACACAGTCAAACCCAGTGTGAATCAGTTAATGACACAGTCAAGCCCAGTGTGAATCAGTTAATGATGTTCTAATCGTGTTGTACAAGACCTTGATTTCCACCAGCAGCTTTGTTGTTTTTTTTTTTTTGTTTTTTTTTGTTTTTTTGTTTTTTTTGTTTTTTTTTTTTTTGCCATTTTGCTGACCTCTTTTGCCTCTGAGTAGTGTTGCTGTATAAACACAGCCAGTGCTGCTGTCTGGGGTTATTTCATGTGCTCCTAGGACATGCAGCACCTCAGGCACTGCATGATTAGAGCAATTAGCTGTCCTATTGCAGCATGCAGCAGCCTCTGGTGTAGAACCATGGAATCACTGAGGTTGGAAAAGAGCCCCAAGTTCAACCTTTGGCTGAATCCCACTACTAAACCCTGTCACAAAGTGCCACATGTGCTTGTTTTTGAACACTTGCAGGGATGGTGACTCCACCTTGTGTTTCTCTTTTGGTTGTGTTTTTAAGGTTGTGATAAATGGTGGAGCAACATCCAGTGGTGACCAGGATACAGAAGACACAGAGTTGATGGCCATCTATACTACAGAAAATGGCATTGCAGAAAAGGTATGTGGTGGTTCCCTTCTGGGTCAGAACTCACTCTTGCTTTCAGTTCACTGTTTGGCCACAGCAGCCTCAGTGGGCTGAGAGGTTTCCTGCTCCCAGCAGATGTGCTGACCTGCAGATTCAGATCAGGCTGGGGGGAGTTCTGGCCTCATGACTCCTCTGGTCACACAGTTTGGTTGCAGAACACAGAGCATGACTCAGGAAGTGTCAGAAACAGTTAATGCACTTTGCCCTGGCACCAAAATTCAGAATATGCAATTTCTTGATTTCTTCATTTCCATTGGCCTTTTGCATGGTTTCCCTGGGAAGGTCATTGTGCTCTGGTCTCAGTTCTGTAGTCAAGGAAACTGGTGGTGTTGAGCACCTTCAAAAGTGGGACCTTTCCCACTTTCTTTCCCAATTTCTTCCAAGCTCTAACCTCATAAGCTTAATTTTTCTAGCTCTTTTTCCAAGTAGGGGCTGCTTGTTATCACTAAGTGACAGCTCTGTGAGTGAACTTCTGGTCATAAAAGCCCTTGAACATTTTTCCTTAGGATAATGATGACTCAGCTATTCAGGAAGACCCCGCTGAGGCCTCAAAACAGACCAGTTTGGGTGTGATTTTTCCAGCTTTGCTCTCCATTCCATCATTCCCCAAGCCTGTTTGGTAGTAACCCTGCAAGCTGAGGTGGTGTGAATCTGAGCTTTTGTCTAAAATAAGGACGAGGCTTATGGTGGCTGAGGTGGTGTGAATCTGAGCTTTTGCCTAAAATAAGGATGAGGCTTATGGTAAATCTGAGCAGCAACTTCTGAGATGTTTATGTCAAACTGACTCTGTGCCTTAGCTGTGAAAAGCCTTAACTTGACCAGTTTTTTCATATGTCCTCACTGAAACAAGAAAAAAACTCTTGTGATTCCAGACAGGAGCATCATGAGCATCTGAGGCTCATCTGCCAGAGGTTTTTTTGGTGCTGCATTTGTGTGTCTGTGATGGCTGAGTTTTGGAGCATGCTCAGACTAGTGAGAGACAATCTGATAAAGCCTTGAGCAAAAGGTGTTTGGCTGAAATTGTGCAACCCAGATAAATGATCTCGAGACACTGAGGCATGTCTCCATGGCCTGCTTTCCCCAAACATGGATTTTTCTCCCTTCCAGGGAAGAAATAAGACAAACAAGTGATGCACAACACAGTTACTGTCCCATGGGTGACTTGGCCCCCACCATGTCCCCCAGCAGTGACCAGCAGCTCCAGCCAAATCCCCCAGTTTGTATCCCAGGCAGGACGTTCTGTGGCCTGGAACATCCCTTTGGCTAGTTCAGCTCAGTTGTCCTGGCTCTGCACCCTCCCAGCTCCTAGTGCAGCTCCTCACTGGCAGGGCATGAGGTGCTGAGAAGTTCCT